AATGGTGGCCAAGCAGCAGCTTATCGTTTTATTTAGCTTTTGCTAAACAAACCAAGTCAAACTTTGGTGATTACGAAGATGTATATGGTCTGTTTTTTAAGAAGTTTTAAGATTGTTGCGGCTGATGATGGTGTCTCATTTATTTTAATGTCTTTGGTTGATGTAATACCCTTTAAACCACCTCGGCTATTGTTTGTCACTTGTAGGTCATATAATCAATCGTTCAGCCAGAGGTGACATCAGATTTCTTTAACGGCTCTTAGTTTAAGTGTACAGACCCAACAATGTAAATGTATCTGGCTCTTATCAGCCCCACGGGACTGCGCTTTAATGAAAATGCTGCTCAGCCAGACGAGCATGTGGAAACGACAGGCTGTCTGTGGTTTGGCGTAGCAGACGTTTTTTTTTTTCTTTTTCTTTTACTGCAGAATTTTAAACCCTCTCTTTACCAGAGCTGCTTTGTGAAAGCCCTTCTCCAAACACTCAACTGTTGTCAGAGTTTGTGGTGCCTTAGTGTGAAATGAGGCTATAAAGGACCTAGGAAAAATAAAGGGAATAAAATCCTAATGGCCTAATGGTCTCACATGAGGAAACTGGACTTAAATGATTTCAAACACGGATGGGTGGTTAAATTAGAAGACTGGCCCAGGTGGTTTAGTGATGAAGGTTTAGCACAAGTTGTTTAAATTTTTGTAGCCTTCCCGAGTGACGACAAAACACCAACGTCTGTCTGTATGCCCCCTTTTCAGGTGTTCAGCCTACCTGGGTGGGCAAGTGGTGGTTTGAGCACACCAGCGCTACCACTTCCTAACTGTGTGTTTGTTTTAGGAGTCATCACCAAAGTTATGTGGAAGTGAAGGAGAGAAAAATGATTGGCATTATGTCAGGACACAAGGAAGCAATTATTTGAAAAGGACTGATGTAAAATAAACAATTAGGGCACTATTTTAGCTGTATCCTGTGACGGGGACGGCACAGTTAAACACACCGGAGTCCCCGCGTGGTCTAATAAAACCTTGTGGGAAGATGCTGTGTTAGGGTTTCTGCAGTGTTTTATTTTACAGCCTCACTGCTGCGCCTGCATCTTTGCTCCATTGCACTCCTTTTTCCTTTACTCGTATCCTCATCCTGACTCAGGCAAAATGGATCCCAAGCATCACCTCGCCCACGCACGAGCGTCTGCTTTTAACATCTGTATTTGATATGTTGTATCTTCGCTCCCACCGGCGGATTCAGCTTGGAGACTCACCGTTGAACGAGCACAGCTTCTCTTTAGAAGTAGACAAGGTGATACGGTCCAGTTCAGGGAGCTGCGAGCAGTTGGGCGGAGATTGCTAGTTCCAGACAGTCTGACTGCCTCACAGGGGGTATTGTGTGGGGGAGCAGCAGTCTCTTTCAGCTGCTTATATTGTAGCCTAGGTCAGCCATGCTGGCAGGGATTAGCAGGAGAGCTTGCACAACATTTTTCCTACTGTTATGTCAGTGTCCCTGGATTGTGGACAGCCTGCAGGGGCCATACGAGGTCCCGGGTTCCTGTTGCAGTGCAGTGTGTGGTCTCCAGCTTTACCTAATCGTTGAGGACATCAGCTGAAAGCCACACTCACTCTGGCCTGGTATTCAGAGAGAAATTAGTCTTTTAGGAGGGGATTTTCTTTGTTTACCTTCCAAAAATCACTTCTTTTTTTTTTTCTTTCGATAACATGTACCCTAATTATTTTCCAAAGCAGCTGAAGCTGCTGCTCCTCTTTGTGCTGAAGTGATTAATTGAGAATGTTTTGACAGACAATCAGTGAGCAGGCATTTCAGTTGCCCACATCAAAATTATCCACGATGACAAAAGCCATTCCAGTGCTAATTATATCCTCTTACATGTGTGTCAGTACTTTTACATTTTAGTGTCTTTATGTTTTTAAGATCAGCAAAATACATTGCTTGTGCTTATTTAAATCCTCAGTGTGCAACAAATGCACCAAAATGTCTTAATTTAAATTGTTACCATTGTTCTGTGCTTTGGTTTTGCCACGGCACAACTGCCATCAGTTGGTAGAAGTGAGCATCAGATTTATTTTTAATGACACAAAAAGAGGAAAAATGACTAGAAAAACAACGATTAGAAGCTAACACCAAGTTTTTTCTGTTTTGCTACTTTGTTTTTTTGTCTGGTCCTGACTGTCTTTGCACCCCTTTACGAAGAATCCTTTGAAGTCTTTGATAATATTCATCTGGATTGAGAGGCACACATTTTGCATCAGTTTAAAGAAAAGTTGACGTTATTCATTTTACACTCATTTGTTGTCAAAGGCAATTGTTTACAACATTCTGTCCTCATTCTTCACTGAATCCTTGAATGCTCGTTGCTAATACCTTCCTTGAGGTGTTGTTTGTCTGTTATCGAAAGCGGTGAGTTTAGAACATGGATAAGCTTACCAGCAGGTAATTTGTATCCATCAATTTAGTGTTCAGGAGACTAATTATTTTTGAAGATCTGGTTGATTTTGTTGAGGATTCAGCCAGCTGTTTTCTCTGCGGGGGAAATTCCAACAATTACTCCTCGTCTAGATGAAAACGTGTATCAGTGGAAAGCGCAGACTTTACTGATGAAGAACACGTTGTTTTGGGCAGCAGTTCATTAATCTGTCCGAACCTTTGCCTCGATCTCGTCTTCAGCGGTTTTCCCGTTCTCGTCTGTGTTTCTCTCCTCTTACGTTGTGCTCCCTACCTCTGGTACTCTCCCCACAGTGCGACCCTGGCTAGACTGTTAAATACATTGAGTAAAATGCTGGCATATGCAAAAAAAGATCTGTGACTCGTTACATAATCTTTATTTCCCCAATTCTGTGATTTCAGGAGCTGTCAAGTTGTGGCTGGAACAAGAAGGAGAAGCACAGCTCTGCTCCAAATGTTGTGGCCTTTACCTGCAGGTTCAACCAGGTGAGACGGGGATCACCATTTACACTTACTGCCCTTTTATTTCAAGTGATTCTAAAGCCTCAACAGAAAAAGAAGGAAAAAAAGGATGAGAAACAGTCCTGCTCCAAGTTTATAGATTTATGTGTCTTGGCTATCCAGGAATGGAAGGAATAAAGTTCTTCTTTCCATCGCATCCCCTGCTTTCATTCTTCCATGTACCAAATCATCAACCTTGCTTTCCCAGAGGTGGTTGTTTTAAACTGTTTGTCATGGCAGCTCTTTATAGTCCCTTATGTCACCTCCCTGCTATTGACAGAGTTATATATATCATAAATGGTCCCCAGGTGATGCTGCTTTGAGGAAAAGTAGCTTTTTTTTTTTTCCCCTTCATTTTTTCTTGTCCTTGGTTTTTCCTTCTTTCTGGCATTCATGGGGTTTTGCATGTGTGCTTGTAGGAGTGCGTCTGGCTTGATCCCTCAGTGCCCCGTGACATCATCAAACAGGAAGTTGTTGGTAATGCTTCAAGGGGTAGAAGTGCCCTTTAATCCACTTCCAGTGTTTTTGCCAAATTCCTCTGGGACCCTCTTTACTGCCCTCCAGTACTAATATGAGATTATCTAACTGGAATGCGTTGCTGTGGAAACTTCTCCATGTATAGCACACCCCAAACAGGGATTCAAGATGTTAGCTGAACACACACACAGCTGCCGGCAGCCAAGGAAAATGAGCTTTTTGGATAATGGGACCTGGACTGGGAGGACAGAGAGTCCCAGAAAGCTCCTTTGCTTGAGCTAAAGCCATATTCGCTGTCCTCCAGTCTTTTTTTGTTGGCACACTGCTTTCGGAGCCAGTGAAGCAGAAAAGAATTGGCTAGCTCATTTGATACAATATGATGAGTGCACTTTAATCGTTATTTAGTTTTCTGTAGAGACAAATTGGGACATTTTTATTAAATAAACAAGGAATCAGATGGTTAATAAAGATGTAATCGTCATGAACCTAAACAAATTAGAATTGTTGTGACTCTTTTTATTTTTTATTATTATTATAATTATTTTCCCTCCCTAACTCATCTTTACTATGGAACAGACGTTAGCAGCACATCAGTGACTGGATCCTACCATCATCAGCTGCGGTTTCCATCGTTAGCCAAATCTTCGTCTCGATCCTTTATTTTTCTCTCCTCGGGTCACATATCAGCTCATGTTTGGATCTGTCTGCTTCCTCTTATTTATGATTATTGAGATCTTGGGGCCTTGTAGCTCCATCTGGAGGCATTGATATGGTCATAAACACAGTCCCGAAAACATCATCGTTGTTTCAAGGCATACCCCTTACAGCCCTCTCTCAGGCACATTTGAGCACTTTGTGAATGCAACTATCTAGAGCGCTGTTGTCATGAGTGATCTCATCATTGCACAGTTTTTGAGGCCGAAGCAGACACAGGCACATGCTCTGTAACGAACCCCAAAGGGATCGTGATTTTTGGAGCCATGCTTCGTCCAGATTGACCTCAGATATCAAGTTAGACCGCTGAGGAACCTAAATGTGAAGCTACAGCATGCTTTGCTCCCAGATTGGAATCAAATTTAGTCATTTACTGGAAAGTCTTTTCTACTGCATAGATGAGGGGAAAGTTAAATGTAACAGGATTTCAGTTTTTCATTTTGAAAGTGGGAGCTGCTTCTTTATGGGAGGTCATTTCCTCAAAGCAGTAGATGAATATTAAAGTGGACGCCAGTGGAGTCGGCGTCCACCATCTGTGCTGTGTGTCTTCTGTCCATTTTCATCATCCTTTCCCATAAAGCTTAATGTGAAACGGTGAAAATTAAAAGCACATGGCTCTGTTTCCTGTCAATCCAACCTCATAGTAATATGTGTTTATAAGACAAGACATGGTTAGGGAGAATGAATTTATCTGTTCGCTCCTGAGCTCCTCACCTCACCTTTGAAACAAAAACAAAGTCTCAGTGCTGTTTCCAGGAAAAAGTCTGCAGAGAC